GTAAGTAAATATCCATGATGTATATTTAAATTACAAAAGCAAATTGCAGATCGGGATTCTAGTGGTTACTGCTGAGAATGAGATTGAATTAGAAGGAATGGGGGACTACATAATGAGGGACTATCAGTTTTACTCTGTATAATTTTATTTTAAGTATTAGAATTTAGATGATTTTTACTTTTGGGTTTTTTGAATTTTCCAATCAAAATAAATTTAAAAAGCTAAATTATAAATGTTTTTTGCATGAATGATATATATAAACCAATTTGTGTGTGTGGTTGTTTTAAATTACTATTTCTCTGTTAAAAGCTTTTTAACCACTTTGGTACGGCGCTCACTGGCTGTGAAACCTTGCCCACAGCCGGCATTCATAGTCCGCACAATAGTTTGTGCTGTGCATTGACTACAAATCCGTTTTGCTCTTGTGTGATGAGGAAAGAATTAAAGCACTGAAAGCTTGTTTTACTTTACAGGCAGCTTTACTTGTAATGTAAATTAGAATAGGTAATATATATATATGTTTTATATATATTATGTTATTATTATTATTATTTTATTTATTTATTTATTTTTGAGGCAGAGTCTCACTTTGTTGCTCGGGCTAGAGTGCCATGGCGTCAGCCTAGCTCTGCAGGTTTGTAATTTTTGCTTCAGCCATCACACGTAATTTAGAAAACTTGAAAGAAGGAAAGCCTGTTGGTTTTACACATATTGTTGCTCACCGGATTCTTTCTTCTTTCCTGATGTTCCAAAAGGTTTTTTTTTTTTTTTTTTTTTGAGACAGAGTCTCGCTTTGTTGCCCAGGCTAGAGTGAGTGCCGTGGCGTCAGCCTAGCTCACAGCAACTTCAAACTCCTGGGCTCCAGTGATCCTTCTGCCTCAGCCTCCCGGTAGCTGGGACTACAGGCATGCGCCACCATGCCCGGCTAATTTATATATATATATCAGTTGCCAATTAATTTCTTTCTATTTATGTAGAGACAGGGTCTCGCTCTTGCTCAGGCTGGTTTGAACTCCTGACCTTGAGCAATCCGCCCCTCGGCCTCCCAAGAGCTAGATTACAGGCGTGAGCCACAGCGCCGGCCCAAAAGTTTTTTATAATTTGTATTCTGTGTAGACAACTTTCTTTAACTAGTCTTTAGGATAATCTGCTGATGATAAATTTTCCTTAGTTTTCCTTTATCTGAGAATGTCTTAATTCCCTCATTCCTGAATGATATCTTCACTGGGTATTAGATTCTGGGTTAGCACTTCTTTTCTTTCAAACTAAAAAATGTTATCCCCTTCCTTGGATAACCTCCATGGATGGCCTCCATGGTTTCTGATGAAATACTCTGTCATTAGAATTATTTCCCCCATAAGTAAGATGTAATTTCTACCTACTTCCAAGACTTTTTTTTTTTACAGAGTCTCATTCTGTTGCCCAGGCTAGAGTGCCGTGATGTCAGCCTAGCTCACAGCAACCTCAAACTGCTGGGCTCAAGTGGTTCTCCTGCCTCAGCCTCCTGAGTAGCTGGGACTACAGGCATGTGCACCATGCCCGTAATTTTCTATATAATATTTAGTTGCCTATTAATTTTTTTCTACTTTTTAGTAGAGATAGGGTCTCGTCTGCTCAAGCGGTTCGAACTCCTGACCTTGAGCGATCCACCCGCCGAGCCTCCCAGAGTGCTAGGAAGGACTTTTTCTTTGTTTTTAGTTTTCAGAAATTAAATACATGATGTGTGTTGAATGCTTTCTTAGTTAATCCTTTAGGGGGTTGCACAACTTCTGAATCTGTAGGTTTATTCCTCTGCCAAAATGGGAAATTTCATGTTATTTTTCAGTTCTGACTTCTTTCTGTCTTTCTGGGACTACAGTGACAAAAATGTTAGATCTTTTGTTTTAGTTCCAAAGATCCCCGAGGCTCTATTAATTTTTTCTCAGTCTGTTACTGTGAGTCAGATTAGTAATTCTAGTGTTCTGTCTCCATATTATGATTTTCCTTTGTACCTTCCTTCTGCTTGAACCCATCCACTAAGCTTTTTATTTCAGTTATTATATTTTCAGTTCTAAAATTTTATTGGTTCTCCTTCATGTCTCCTGTTCTGTGCCAAGCTTTCATTTATTTATTTGTTTTATTGTTTGTATGATTGTTGCAGCATTTTTTTTTCATGGCTGCTTTAAAAATCTTTGTTCGATAAATCTAACTTCTGTTCATTTCACTGTTATCATCTATTGTCATTTTTCATTCAGTTTGAGATCTTCCAGATTTTGGTATGACAGAGTTTTTTTTAATTGAAACCTGGGCATTTTTTATTATGTCATATGATGTTGCATCTTATTTGAACCTTCTGTGTTAGCTGGCTTCGTTGACACTACTTTGGCAGGGGAGGGGGAGCACTGCTTTGATACTGCTTGGTGAGGAGAATTCCAGGTTCCTTGCTTGGCCTCCGTTACACCTAAGGTGAGGAGGGCTCCTTTTACTGCTGGATGAGGATGGGAATCACAGTTTATACCATCTCCACTGACACAGCAAGAAGAAGTCCCCATTTCTGACTGGTGGAGATGAAAGTTCTGGGTCTCTCTGGGCTTCTCTGACACCAACCTGGCAGGAATAGTAGGTGCCTTGGTCCAGCCTTGCAAGAGTAAAAAGTCTAGGCTCCCCACTCAGCTTTGCTGGCATGGGTGGAGTGGGCCACAACTTTTCCCTGTCATATTTGGTAGTTGGTTTAAAAATTTTCTGTCTTGCTATGCTGCCCCTTTCCTGATACTCAGACTAGAGAGGATTTTATTTTATTTTATTTTTTTATTTTTGGAGACAGAGTCTCGCTTTGTTGTCCAGGCTAGAGTGAGTGCCATGGCGTCAGCCTAGCTCACAGCAACCTCAAACTCCTGGGCTCTCAGTGATCCTTCTGCCTCAGCCTCCCGGGTAGCTGGGACTACAGCATGCGCCCCCATGCCGGCTAATTTTTTATATATATATCAGTTGCCAATTAATTCTTTCTATTTATAGTAGAGACGGGGTCTCGCTCTTGCTCAGGCTGTTTTGAACTCCTGACCTTGAGCAATCCCGCCGCCTCGGCTCCAAGAGCTAGGATTACAGGCGTGAGCCACAGCGCCGGCCTAGAGAGGGATTTTAGATGGCTATGTTTGTCCATGCTCCTTGTGTTGTCAAATTGCTGACTTCTTCAGCCCATGTCTAGGATAGATGAGACAAAAAGAAAACCCTGGGAACTCTTTACATGTCATTCCTCCGGTCCTGATGCCTAGCTTGTCACCTTCTTTCTCTACCTTTCAGAATGGTCTATATTTGTTATATAGTAAAATGTCTAGGATTTGTAGTTGATTTAGCAGGAAGAATAGGGAACGTCCATTTACTCTGTTCTGAAAGCGTAAGTCAGTGTATGACATCTAATAAGAATTTATAAAATAAATTAATGGAAACAGAGGCCTTTCCTATTACATTAAACCTGACCTTGAGCAATCCGCCCGCCTCGGTCTCCCAAGAGCTAGGATTACAGGCGTGAGCCACAGCGCCCGGCCTTATGTATTTTTAGTTGTCCAATTAATTTCTATTTATAGTAGAGATGGGGTCTCGCTCTTGCTCAGGCTGGTTTCGAACTCCTGACCTTGAGCGATCCTTGTGCCTCGGCCTCCCAGAGTGCTAGGATTATAGGCGTGAGCCACTGGACCGGCCTAATTCTTTAAATGTTCGGTAGAGTCCTCTAATGAAATCATCTCAGCCTGGAGATTTCTTGTTTTGGAGTTTTAAAATTATGAATTCAATTTCCCTCATAGTTATAGGGCCATTCAAATTATCTATTTTGTATTGGGCCAGTTGTTGAAGTTTGTGTTTTTTCAAGGAATTGGTCCATTTTGTCAAAATGTCAAATTTATTTGTATAAGTTATTTTTAATATTTCCTTATTATCCTTTTGATATATTCAGGGTCTATAGTGATATACCCGTTTTCATTCCTAATATTGGTAGCTTGTGTTTTCTCTTTTTTTGTCTGTCTTGCTAGAGGTTTGTCAATTTTATTGATCTGTTTTAAGAACCAAGTCTTTGTTTCATTGATTTTCTTTATTTTTCTGTTTTCAAAATTATTAATTTGTTCTCTTTATTGTTTCCTTCGGATTTATTTTGTTCTTTTTCTAGGCTCTTGAAACGGAACTTAGAAGACTTTTTCTCTTTTCTTTTCTTTTCGTTTCGTTTCGTTTCGTTTCGTTTTTTTTTTTTTTTTTTTTTGAGACAGAGTCTTGCTTTGTTGCCCAGGCTAGAGAGTGAGTACTGTGGCGTCAGCCTAGCTCACAGCAACCTCAAACTCCTGGGCTCAAGCGATCCTACTGCCTCAGCCTCCCTAGTAGCTGGGACTACAGGCATGCGCCACCATGCCCAGCTAATTTTTTTTTATATGTATATATCAGTTGGCCAATTAATTTCTTTCTATTTATAGTTGAGACAGGGTCTCGCTCTTGCTCAGGCTGGTTTTGAACTCCTGACCTCGAGCAATCCGCCCGCCCGCCTCGGCCTCCCAGAGAGCTAGGATTACAGGTGTGTCCCACTGCGCCCGGCCTCTATCACGTTATTTTTATTTTTTTTTAAAAACTTGTACCACCTTGAAATATCACGTTATTTTTAAATGTTCACAATTTTATTTTGATAAATGAAAAATTAGAAAAGTCATATCACGGCTGTCAGCTAAAGTCGACGCTCGGCTGTGTGTGTTCATCTGTGGCTGTCGACTATAGTTGATACTTATACCAAAGTGGTATTAAAGTAAATGCTGCAGAATATAGTACTCCTTCCATACTCTATGAAGTGAGGAGAACGGAAGTATGGGGAAATCTTTTACCAATGTAAGAATTGAAGAAGAAAGAAATCTGGATGTGTGCATTTGGAATTACTGGCAAACTGCTGAGATCCATAGCTTGAGCCTTTCCTTTAGCCAGCTTGATGATATTGATGATAAACAAGGATTTTCTTTTTGAAAATGTGTATTTCTTTTTTGTTTTGACAGAAATGACATCAGATGTACCATCATTGGGTCCAGCCATTGCTTCTGGAAACCCTGGGTCTGGGATTCAAGGTGGAGGAGCCATTGTCCAGAGGGCTGTTAAGCGGCGACCAGGGTAAGTTTCAGTATGGTATTATGTTATTAATGTTTCTCCTATAAACCAACCTAATTTAGTTAGTTACTGAATTCACTTGGCTATTCCTGACTCTCTTTCTTCAACTGATTACTTACTACCTTGCTGTCATATAAGTCTCCTTAGTCTCTGGATTTTTCCTTTTTTTTTTTTTTTTTTCTTACACCTGTGTTCTGGGGGAGATTTGTCTTTTTGTCAAATTGATGTTTTATCTAAGTTTCCCATAGCATTTCTTTCTTTCTTCTTTTTTTTTGAGACAGAGTCTTGCTTTGTTGCTTAGGCTAGAGTGAGTGCCGTGGCGTCAGCCTAGCTCACAGCAACCTCAAACTCCTGGGCTCAAGCAATCCTTCTGCCTCAGCCTCCCAAGAAACTGGGACTACAGGCATGTGCCATCATGCCTGGCTAATTTTTTTCTATATGTATTAGTTGGCCAATTAATTTCTTTCTATTTATAGTAGAGATGGGGTCTCGATCTTGCTCAGGCTGGTTTCGAACTCCTGACCTTGAGCAATCTGCCTGCCTCGGCCTCCCAGAGTGCTAGGATTATAGGCATGAACCACCACGCCTGGCTGCATTTCTTTTTTTAACCAAGAATCTCTGCAAGGTAAAGGACTGTGGCTAAGCCCAGAGATGTCACTATTGCTGAGAAAACTGCTTTCATTAAGCTTTATGTCTACATTTCAAAATCATTTTGATAGACTTCTTTTCTGAATTTAGAGAGTGCTGACCTTACTGATTTCTCTTCTAAGTTATTGATATGTTGCTTGATTTGGAATGCAGAGTCTATTCAATTCCAGAAGTACTTATTAAATGCCTAATTAGCGTATGGCATTGTGACGATTGGGAATAGGATACAAAGATAAATAGGACACAGTCCTTATCTCCAAGTTGCTTATATCTGACAGGAATAATCATTGCACACATACATATAATATAAGATAGAATATGCCAAGTTTTATAAGAAAGGAAAAAATTCAGTGCTGTGTTTTTCTGTGTACAGAAATAACCACATTTGGTTGGTAAAGATTGGGAAAAGCTTCAGAAAAGAGGTTACTATAGAGGGGCCTGGATGAATGGGTTGTATTTTATCCACTTTTTGGTATTACATTTCCCTTTTTTTCTTTTCAAAAATTATATACCTACTATTATAATTATTTAAGTTCCATTTCACCAAAAGTAATTCAGGAGTGATCCCTGAGTTAAGTGGTAACATAAGTAACATATTAAGATTTGCTATGTGTTCAAGAACTTTATACATTCTAACTCATTTATTGAGGCATAGGGTGGATAAGTAACTTTCTAAGGTTCTAAAGCTAGTAAGTGGCAGATGTAGAGTATAAACCTTGGGAATTTAGATTTGGAGTCCACTCTCTTAAACATTGTGTTATTGTTACGTATAATAGCAAACAATTAGAACCAATATAAATATTTAAATTAAGGGATCACTTGAGCAAGTTATAGTATATTTAAAATGGAATACTATATTGCTAGAATTGGCAAATATGTATTAGTACAGAAAAATGTTCACAATATATTAAGAGAGGTTACAATATTATAGTAATATTTCATTGTCAGAAAAAAACATGTAACATAAGTGCATAGCAAAAACACTGAAAAAATACTCATCAGATTTCTGGGTGATGGGATTATGGGTGTTTTATTTTTTTCTTTTGCTTTTAATTTTCCAGATTTTCTGAAATGAACATGTATGATTGGTAAACGGAAAAATATATTAAAAGAAAGGTTGGAAAATATAGAAAGTTAGAAAGAACAACAATTGGCCAAAGTCAACTACCATCAGTTTTTTTAGTGTACTTCCTTCAGTTTTTTTTTTTTTTTTTTTCGATTGGCTAAAAATATGGAACGCTTCACGAATTTGGGTGTCATCCTTGCGCAGGGGCCATGCTAATCTTCTCTGTATCGTTCCAATTTTAGTATATGTGCTGCCGAAGCGAGCACCTTCCTTCAGTTTTTATACATAAATTATTTTTAATAGTTATAATCATATAATGAAATAGTTTTATATAGCCTGGTCTTTTCTTTTTTTTTTTTTTTTTTTTTTTGCTTTCATAGCTGAGCTATGGTCTTTTCATATGTATATATATATATAATAACTCTTGTTTGCTTGTTACATATTCTGTATAAGCATAATTTTTAATGGTTATGTAAAAGGAGGTACTTAATTCCTGTTTGGGGACATTTAAATTGTTTTGAAGATTTTGCTATTATATGTAATGGTACAATGAACATCTTTGTATATAACCTTTTTTCTATTTCAAGTTGTTTCTTTAGATTCTTAGAAATTGAGTTATTGAATAGATGGGTAGGATTTTGACAGGTGATCAGGGGCTGCAGGAAAGAGGAAGAGGAATGAACACTTTCAGGATTGATGCTGTACATTTCGTATGCAACCCATCTAGATTAGGTGTCCATAATATCAGGTTATACCAATAGTAGAATAAGTGAGAGTGACCACAGGGTTAAAATGATAACATGAACAATATTATAGTTTAATAGAATACAGAGATTAAAAGGGGATTAGCCTACTCTATTATCTATAATCTTTCCTAATCCCCTGAAATGAAATTCACCTCTTCTTTCACTGCACATTTAGGTCATTAAATCTGAAATGCCTGATTTTTTTTTTTTTTTGAGACAGAGTCTCACTTTGTTGCTCAGGCTAGAGTGAGTGCTGTGGCATCAGCCTAGCTCACAGCAACCTCAAACTCCTGGGCTCAAGCGATCCTACTGCCTCAGCCTCCTGAGTAGCTGGGACTACAGGCATGCGTCACCATGCCCGGCTAATTTTTTCTATATATATTAATTGGCCAATTAATTTCTTTTTATTTATAGTAGAGACGGGGTCTCGCTCTTGCTCAGGCTAGTTTCGAACTCCTGACCTTGAGCAGTCCACCCGCCTCGGCCTCCCAGGGTGCTAGGATTACAGGCGTGAGCCACCGCGTCCAGCCTCTGGCCTACCACAGTGTCTTAAATGTATATATTTCTTGTTTTCTACATGAATGGTAGAAAGGAGCATTATCTATCAACCTTCTTAGGTCTTAAGTCACTCTCTCATGTAACATCACTGTTTTGAAACATGTTTCAGAAAGCTAGCAACATAGCTTAGAGTAGACTATAGAAATGAAACTGGACCTGAATTTTATTTATGTTAATTTTTTCCTTTGCTGTTCTGAGTAAATTCCTGCTCTCTTTGTAGAGTTATAGTCAGATGTAAAACTTTGGCAAAGGTGGACTGCTACCCTAGGGAAGTGTTAAGGTAGCAGTAGGTACTCTTTTTCTGTTGCACAGTTTGACACTATGAGGAAAAGGTAATGTAGCTTTGTTTGACTTTTGCCCACTTCCTCTTTTCCTCCTTCCATTTTGGTGGGTGTACAGGTAGCTTGTGTTGAGAAATTTTAATTTCTTAATGTCCTGTATCAGTAGGCTTGCAATATTTATTGTTGACTTTCCCCAGGCTGGATTTTGATGATGATGGAGAAGGAAACAGTAAATTTTTGAGGTAAGAGATTGAAAAACTTTCTCTAGGGTTCTGATATTAAAAATTAGTTTATGATCTTTGTACTTGCGTCTTATAATATTTTTGTCCTTAGGCCTAAGGAAAGTGCTTCATGCTAAAATTATAAATATTAATATTGTACTATATCCCAGAAAAATTTCAAGCATTCTTGTTAATATCTTCAGAGAAAGGACCTCAGTGAGGAGTGAACAGAATATTTATAAGACTCTATCACAGGGGTCCTCACACTTTTTAAACAGGGGGCCAGTTCAGTGTCCCTCAGACCATTGGAGGGCCAGACTATAGTTTAAAAAAAACTATGAACAAATTCCTATGCACACTGCACATATCTTATTTTGAAGTAAAAAACAAACGGGCAAAAATACCCGCATGTGGCCCGAGGGCCGTAGTTTGAGGACACCTGCTCTATCAGTTATCTATTGCTGTTGCTACATGGCTTAAAAAGAACAACAGTTTATTATTTCTGAATTCTGTGGGTTGACTGCATGTTTATTCTGCTGATCTCACCTAGACTCACTCATAAGACTGCATTTAGCTGGCTGGTAAGCTGAGAACTGGACTTAGCTGGGATGGCTGGGTATCCCCTGTACATGGTCTTTTATCCTCAAGGAGGCCAGGCTGTTTCTTCATCTGGTGATGGCCACAATCTACAGGGCAAGTCCCCGTGTGCAAGTGCTTATTAAACCTCTGTTTGTATGATATTTGCTAATGTCCCACTGGCCAAAGCAAATCACATGTTCAAGTCCTGAGTTGGTGTGGGAGGGGACTACACAAGGGTGTAGATACTGGGAGATGTAATTCATGGGGGCCTGGGGGGGTTCATTAATGTACTACGCTGTTATAGCCTCTGATACCTGTTGACTCTTCCTACAAGTAGCAGGAATTGGAATTTATATTTTTGTGTATTGAATCTTATGGAGCTTTAAAAATGGACTATTTAATGTATTGATTAAGGGGTTCTTTCAGAAAAACTGTCATAGTTTATTCTTGCTGAAGATCAATTGCTTGGCTTGTTTTCAAGTAAGAAAAGCAGTAAGACTCAAAGAAAGGGAGATAACTTTGACCATAACCTGCCTTTTTTCTTTCCAGGGTTGAAAGTATTACCTGGGTTATCTCTATATTTCTTTTGTTTTCTTTCTTTTTTTTTTTTTTTGAGACAGACTCTAGCTTTGTTGCCCAGGCTAGAGTGAGTGCCATGGCGTCAGGCTACCTCACAGCAACCTTAAACTCCTGGGCTCAAGCAATCCTGCTGCCTCAGCCTTCCAAGTAGCTGGGACTACAGGCATGCGCCACCATGCCCGGCTAATTTTTTCTATATATATTAGTTTGCCAATTAATTTCTTTATATTTATAGTAGAGATGGGGTCTCGCTCTTGCTCAGGCTGGTTTCTCTTGCTCAGGCTGGTTTCGAACTCCTGACCTTGAGCAATCCACCCGCCTCGGCCTCCCAGAGAGCTAGGATTACAGGCATGAGCCACCCGCCCGGCCTCTATATTTCTGAGTAACAGATATTTGATAAATAAATAAAGGAGCCCTATTTTTAAAAAATTATTTGATTATGTGGGTACCGAGATTTGATTTTGTTTGTTTTATTAACTAAATTTTTTAATTGGAAAAGTAATATAAATATATTTTATTGTAAAAATTTCAAACAGTACAAAGTTATATATAGTGAAAGTACATTTTCCTTTCACTTTGGACCTTAAGAACCCTTCCCTTTAGACAACTACTGCTTCCAGTTTATTGAGTATTTTTCTAGAAATATTCCGTGTATATCAGGTTGATATAAATGTGTATGTGTGCACATACACATACTCCTAATCTTCCCAGTTTTTGCTTTTACGCAAAGGATATCCATTATTGTAAATTGCTTGCCATTGTTTAGTTTTTTTTTTTTTTTTTGAGACAGGGTCTCACTTTGTTGCCCAGACTAGAGTGAGTGCCGTGGCGTCAGCCTCGCTCACAGCAACCTCAAACTCCTGGGCTCAAGCGATCCTCCTGCCTCAGCCTCCCGAGTAGCTGGGACTACAGGCATGCGCCACCATGCCCGGCTAATTTTTTCTATATATATTAGTTGGCCAATTAATTTCTTTCTATTTATAGTAGAGATGGGGTCTCGCTCTTGCTCAGGCTGGTTCCGAACTCCTCCTGTTTAGTTTTTTAATGCTTAGTATAGTCAGTAACATTTATCTTTTTTTATTATAGTAACATTTAAAATTAAGGTTTGTATTTCTAGCTACTGACTAGTTGATGAATCTTGCCAGATACTATCGAAAACAACCATGACTTGGGCACCATAAAGAAATAGTTGCAAATGAAAGTAATTCTCTAAAAGGTCTCTTGAGACTTAATGGGTCTCAATAAATGTGAAGAAGGGAAGAGATTTCAACTTCTGGAGAAGGATAGACCTTTTTAAATAGCTTTGTTGGGAATTCTTTCAATTGAAAATCCTTAGCCTTCCCTAGGGCATAAAAAAAAAAAAAAAAGAAAATCCTTAATTACAATGATAGATGTTGTTAGTGGAACTATGTTGTGTGTATGAATGGTATGGAGGTAACCACTAGTCTTATTTATACCTATCAATTAGCTCTAACCCTGAATTATTCCTTCCATAAAATCCAGTAGTTGCAGCTATGTGCAAATCCAAAGAGAGGTTCATTTGTTCTTTTTTAATTTTAATTAATTAATTAATTAATTAATTAATTTTTCTCCTTTCCTTTTTTAGAAATGATTAAGCTTAGTAAAGAAATGATTAAGCTTAGTGATTCTTTTTTTAACCATAAGAAAAAACTGTCACGGTTTATCTTACCAAGTGGGTCATTATGCCTAGGAAAAGAATTGCCAAATTTGTTTGTCCATTAATACAATCTTTTTTATTTTTTATTTTATTTATTTATTTATTTTGAGACAGAGTCTTGCTCTGTTGCCCAGGCTAGAGTGCCATGGCATCAGCCTAGCTTTCAGCAACCTCAAACTCCTGGGCTCAAGCGATCCTCCTGCCTCAGCGTTCTGAGTAGCTAGGACTACAGGCATGTGCCACCATGCCTGGCTAATTTTTTTAATATATTTTTAGTTGGCCAATTAATTTCTTTCTATTTCTAGTAGAGATGGGATCTCACTCTTGCTCAGGCTGGTTTTGAACTCCTGACCTTGAGTGATCCTCCTGCCTCAGCCTCCCAGAGTGCTAGGATTACAGGCATGAGCCACCGTACCTGGCCAATACAGTCTTTTTTAACAATTGGAGTTTTCTAAAAGTGTCAAGGCTTTGACACTCTAGGTTTAATATCAGGGTTATTAGTATCTAGAATAGTGCTTCTCAAACTTGAATGCATATACAAATCTATGTGGAGTTCTTGCTAAGATGAAAATTTTAACACCATAGGTCTAGCAAAGGGTCCACGATTCTGTATTCTAATAGGTTCATAGGTGATGCTGTTGTTTCTGGACCATAGACCACATCTTGAATAGGAACAATCCAGAAGACTCATTTTTGAGATTCAAGGTTTATATGTAAATTATAGGTCTCTTATTTCAGTTTAAGTCACTTATTATAAGTTTGTAGTATCTGATTTTTTTTTTTTTTTTTTTTTTTTTTGAGACAGAGTCTCACTCTGTTGCCCGGGCTAGAGTACTATGGTGTCAGCCTAGCTCACAGCAACCTAAAACTCCTGGGCTCAAGCAATCCTCCTGCCTCAGCCTCCCAAGTAGCTGGGACTACAGGCATGCGCCACCATGCCCAGCTAAGTTTTTCTATACATATTAGTTGGCCAATTAATTTCTTTCTATTTATAGTAGAGATGGGGTCTCGCTCTTGCTCAGGCTGGTTTCGAACTCCTGATCTTGAGCGATCCGCCTGCCTCAGCCTCCTAGGGTGCTAGGATTACAGGCGAGAGCCACCACGCCCAGCCTGAAATGTCTGATTTTTTTTTTTTTTTTTTTTTAATTTATTTTTTGTGGACGAGGTTCTGGGGCCCCAAGAGAGGAGGGCCCTGGAAGTCGTCCTGAAATGTCTGATTTTGAATCAAACGTGTAGTTTATTATATCTCAAACAAGAAGCAGTACAGTTAATCAAAGTAGGTGCCTAAACTATTGCCACAGTTTTGCCATCTTAATGGTAGCTTGTTTATGCCAACAGCAAAGAAGCCTGGAGAGTAAGTGGCGATGAAATCGCAAAAGGTGTTTTCCACAGCTTATAGAGAATTGAATATTTTTCTTTGCAAGTAGTCCAAAGCCTGCAAAAAGTGGTAGTCAGTTGGTGCAAAGTCTGGTGAATATGGTGGAAGACAGAGGGTTTCCAAGTCTAGCTTCCATTACAGCTTTCAGCTCATCATTATCCACCTTAGTCTCAGGTCGCCCACGTAGCTCATTTTCAAGATTAAAATCACTAGAACGGAACTTCTCAAACCATTGACATACTGTGCATTCATTAGCCACATCCTTCCCGAACACTTTGTTGATATTTTGAGCTGTCTGTTCTGCATTAGTTCCATGACAAAACTCATATTCAAAAATACCATAAATTTTTGACTTACCCATGGTTTCACAAAAATTGCTCTAAAAAAATTTGACAGATAATCACAAGCCAAAATGTACTTTTGAAAGAATGAGATGTACCTTCACAATAAACATAAAACAAGAAATGTCAAAGTGAAATATCAGAGATATCAACTGTCAAACTTAGTACTTAGGAAATTGGATATTTCTTTTTTTTTTTTTTTTTTGAGACAGAGTCTCACTTTGTTGCCCGGGCTAGACGTGAGATGCTTGGTGGTCGGCCTAGCTTCACGCAACCTCAAACTCCTGGGCTCAAGCAATCCTTCTGCCTCAGGCTCCCGAGTGGCTGGGACTACAGGCATGCACCACCATACCTGGCTAATTTTTTCTATATATATGTATTAGATAGCCAATCAATTTATTTCTATTTATAGTAGAGACGGCGTCTTGCTCTTGTTCAGGCTGGTTTCGAACTCCTGACCTCGAGCAATCCGCCTGCCTCGGCCTCCCAGAGTGCTAGGATTACAGGTGTGAGCCACTGTGCCCAGCCTGGACATTTCATACGTAATAACCTAACTTCTGCTCTCTGGTTATTTTCAAAAACTTTGAAAATTCTTAGGGTCAAATTAGTTAAAGATTTATAACCTGTGAAGGAGTAGTATGAATTCTGACTCTAATAGCTGTTTAAACTGCATATTTTCCTAGCACTCTGGGAGGCCGAGGCAGGTGGATCACTCAAGGTCAGGAGTTCGAAACCAGCTTGAGCAAGAGCAAGACCCTGTCTCTACTAAAAATAGAAAGAAATTAATTGACCAGCTAAAAATACATGGAAAAAATTAGCTGGGCATGGTGGCACATGCCTGTAGTCCCAGCTACTTGGGAGGCTGAGGCAGAAGGATTGCTTGAGCCCAGAAGTTTGAGGTTGATGTGAGCTAGGCTGACACCACAGCACTCTAGCCTGGGGCAACAGAGTGAGACTCTGCCTACAAAACAAAACAAAACAAAACAATAAACTTCAAATTTTGTGAGACTTACCTATCTATGTTCTACTTTCTGTCCAAAGTTTATTAGAATCTTTGCTTGTATCTTATGGTAATGACAAGAGGAAAATTTAGATCTTCCAGAGAACAGAATAATAGTGTTTTAGAATTAGGTCTTCCTCTCTTTTTTTTTTTTTTTGAGACAGAGTCTCACTTTGTTGCCCAGGCTAGAGTGAGTGCCTTGGCGTCAGCCTGGCTCACAGCAACCTCAATCTCCGGGGCTCAGCGATCCTACTGCCTCAGCCTCCCGAGTAGCTGGGACTATGGCATGCGCCACCATGCCCGGCTAATTTTTTTGTATATATATTTTACTTGGTCAATTATTATTCTTTTTTGGTAGAGACGGGGTCTCACTCAGGCTGGTTTTGAACTCCTGACCTTGAGCAATCCGCCCGCCTCGGCCTCCCAAAGTGCTAGCATTACAGGCGTGAGCCACCACGCCCGGCCTAGGTCTTCCTCTCTTAATAGATCCTCCTTTATAGTTTCTGCAGTAGCAGCCATGTTTTATCTCCCTATAAAGTAGAAATTGTTGGGATGAATGGAGTGAATTTCTTTGGTCAACCAGATAAAGAGCACTGTTTAAATTATAATTTAAAACTATCTCTTTTACAAATTACCTACGTTGATCACATATAAACCAAATAAAAAAATAAAATAAAGAAAAAAAAATAAAACTATTTCTTAAAAACTTCTCCACATCAAAGGAAACAATACAGTGATAAAGCAACCTATATAATTAGGAGAAAATACTTGCAAATCAATTATCTTATAAGGGATTAATACCTGGAATAATATACAAAGGACGCCTACAACTCCACACAACAAAACTGATTAAACAGTGGGCAGTGGACCAATAAGCAATGAAAGATGCCTGACATCACTAATCATTAGAGAGATACAAGTCCAAACTATGATAAGATATTATTTCATACCTATTAGGATGGCCACTATCAAAAACAAAAGAAAAAACCCTAGAAAATAACAAGTATTGGTGAAGATGAAGAGAAGTTGGAAGCCTTGCGCTCTGTTGATAGGAATGTAAAATGGTGCAGCCACAATGGAAAACAATATGATCTTGCCTCAAAAAATTAAACATAGAGTAACCATCTGATCCAGCAATACCACTTCTGGGTATATATTCAAAAGAATTGCAAGTAGACTCTTGAAGAGATAATTTGCACACCCATGTTTATTGCCCCATTTTTCACAATAGCCAAGAGGTGGAAGCAATCCAAATGTCCATTGACAGATGAATGGATAAAGAAAGTGTAATGTGTGTATGTGTGTGTGTGTGTGTATGTGTGTGTGTATATATATATATATATGTATATATATGTACAATGGAATATTATTCAGCCTTAAAAAGAAGGAAATCCTGTCACATGCTATAGCGTGGCTGATCCTTGAGGACATTATACTAAAAGAATAAGCCAGTCACAAAAAGACAAATACTATACAATACCACTTACTTTTACAGTAGTTAAACTCATAGACACAGAAAGAATGGTGGTTGCCAGGAACGAGGGAAGGAAGAAATGGGAAGGTGGTATTCAGTGGGTCTAGAGTTTCAGGGTTTTTTTGTTTTTTTTTTTGTTTTTTTTTTGAGACAGAGTCTCGCTTTCTTGCCTAGGCTAGAGTGAGTGCCGTGGTGTCAGCCTAGCCCACAGCAACCTCAAACTCCTGGGCTCAAGCGATCCTCCTGCCTCAGCCTCCCGAGTAGCTGGGACTACAGGCACGAGCCACCATGCCCGGCTGATTTATATATATATATATATTAGTTGGCCAATTAATTTCTTTCTATTTTTATGATAGAGACGGGGTCTCGCTCAGGCTGGTTTCGAACTCCTGACCTCGAGCAATCCGCCCACCTCGGCCTCCCAGAGTGCTAGGATTACAGGCGTGAGCCACTGCGCCCGGCCTAATTCATTTCTTTACTAGTGGGTCTCGCTCTTGCTCAGGCTGGCTTCGAACTCCTGACCTTGAGCAATCCGCCCACCTGGGCCTCCCAGAGTGTTAGGATTACAAGCATGAGCCACCACACCCAGCTGTAGTGTTTCAGTTTTGCAAGATGAAAACATTTTAGATATCTGTTGCACAACTGTGTTAATATGGTTAACACGGCTGAACTGTATACTTGGTTAAAATGGTTAAGATGATAAATTTTATGTGTTTTTTACCACAATTTAAAAAAACTAAAACTATCCCTAACTTTAGAGTGGTGCTGACAGGACAATAACTATATTCTCATTAGATCATCATCTTTTTTTGGTGTGTCTGGTAAGGGTAGTGGAGACATCAGAAACTTGACAAATAATAGTCATGGGTTTAAAAAGTTCTGTGGGATGCTGTTATTATCTCTATTGTTTTATGGTGTTTTTGCATTAGCTTTTTTCCTATAGAATATTTTTTCTTCTTTCTAGTTTTCCTTATAGAGTGAAATAAATAAAACAAGTGTAATGCTTTGAAATAATCCTTTTTTTTATCCTTCAGGTGTGATGACGATCAGATGTCTAATGATAAGGAGCGTTTTGCCAGGTAATGTAGTAGAGCATCTTGGTCCATGTTGTGGGACCAATCCTAGGATATTGAATTTTACTTTTATCTCAATGAGAGTGAATTCCATTGTCCAGTCTCCTTCCTATTCTGAAAGCTGGTAAAACTTAGCATTGTAACTGTCATTTATGTTCAGGTGACATGGCTCCAAGCTAACAGTATATTTTATGTACTGTCTTTCTGTGTATGTAATAGCTATAGCTGTCTGCTTGCTAAGCGTCCAGAGAAAGACAAACTGTGGATTTTGTGGCTGACATTTATTTTTAAATGGATTGCTACAAATAATAGGTGTACAGATAATGGTTTTATTTTATTAATAACCATAGAGAAACATTTTCTTTTGGAGGCTGGACTTCTGATTGAAATAAACTTACATTTGTTTAAATAACCTATGAAGATGATGAAATATACTTTGTTTTTTTTTTAAGAGACAGGGCTTCACTCTGTCACCCAGGCTGGAGTGCATGGGCTGATCACAGCTCACTGTGACCTCGAACTCCTTGGTTCAAGTGATCCTCTTGCCTCAGCCTCCTGAATAACTAGGACTACAGGTGCACACCACTGTGCCTGGGTAATATTTTTTTTATTTTTAGGGTCTTGCTATGTTGCTCAGGCTGTTCTTGAACTCCTGGCCTTGAGTATTCCTCCCTTCTCAGCCTCCCAAAGTGCTGGGACTATAGGAGTGAGCCACTGCGACTGGTCATTTTGCTTCTTATTAAACAATAAATCCTTTTCAACTTAGATATTGGTTTTCTTTTTAGAAAGTTCATGTCATAGATTATTAAGCAATAAATTATGTTTTAAAACATTAAGTTTGTAGCCACTTCAGAAAAATGAATAATGCATTATTTAAAAATCTAGTACTTAACTGAGCATTTGGTATTTATTCATTTCCGATGCTGCTGGTCTGAGGACCATGCTTTGAGAACCATTGATGTAGAGGGATAAAAAAACCCAGGTGGAGTAGTTTTAAACTATTCTGAAGCAGTAAGATGTCATCTCAGGCTTTGAATTAAAGGATATTATATAAAATACATTGTAAGGATATTTGTCTGATAGCAGCATATAGGCTTAATTAAAGAGTAGGACTATAGGGAGGTAAATAAGAAGCTGTTGAAATAATTAATAAGACAGCTTGCTATAAAGTTATGAGGGCCTGAGTTAGAGTGGTGGCAATGGCAATAGGAATGGAGCGAAGTAAAGAGGTTTTAGAAGAATTTATCAAAGCTAATTGAAATAGATACTTGTAAAGTCTTTAGCATCATCTAAAATGAGAAGTTAATCATAGATATTTGGGGAATAGTATTTCAAGCTGCATTAAAAAGTCAAGCCATCAGCTAGGCGCAGTGGTATATACCTGTAGTTCTGGCTACTGAGGAGGCTGAGGTGGGACGATCACTGGAGCCCAGGAGTTCGAGGCTGCAGTGCACCATGACCGTGCCTATGAATAGCTCAAGTGTTCCAGCCTGGGCAACATAGTGAGACACTATCTCAGAAAATAAAAAAAGTCAAGCCATCAATTAGTATTGGTAGTACAGGTTCATAGTATCTTGACTGAATTTTCAAAAAGCCATGAAAACATGACCTGAACTATTTTAGTCTTTATTTGTCCTGCTTAATGTCCATATTTATGCATTTATATATTTCATTCAGGAATATTGAAGTGGATAAGAGGTTGTGGATCTATAGTAGTAGGAGTAGTACATAGGAATTTTAGATATTTAACTGTTTTTCAAACCACAGAACTCATTCCTTTAAGATATGATTTGTTGAGGTACTTCACTTCACCATATCCTCCCCAGGAATTTAGTAAAGGGTCTTCAAAAACTGGAAGTATATGAATTTTTCTCAACTTTTTGAAGAAAATGTTTTGTAGTTTGTTAAGGAATGCTCTAGAAGAAATAACCCAAAGAACATGAAACTCTAAACTATTTAGTATCACTGTGTTCTCATCAGAATATATACATAAATTTTACATATATACATTCTTCTTGTTACTATATTATTTTCTGTATCTTTTTTCTTTTGCCCATTTTATAGAAACTTTCTTATATATTGATAAAATTGTATTTGTCATTTTTACTAGCTAACTAATCTTTCAGTCTGTTAATATGTCAGACATTTTATTTGGGCCGTTATCTACATCTCTATATAAAATAGACATATTTAAAATGAAATTTAATACTGTTATGCTGGCCTGCCAAAACTTTGATGTTTCTTCAGTTGCCACTCAACCTTTATAGTATCTCAGTTTTCTGGAAAAATGTAGTAATTATCCTTTGTATCCTCTTCTAAGGGAGGGGGAATTGTTACTGGGGATCCACTTGTGCGGCTTTACTGCAGAGAAAAGATAAAATGACTGAATCAAAATTAAGAATACTTTAGGGACAACTTAATGATAGAGGACATGCCAGAAACCTAGCTCTTAGTTTTGTTTATATAATTTCTCCAGTGAAGTATGGTTGGCTGTTTTTTCTGTGTGTATGGGTGTGTGAGAGGGGACATAGTTGTGTTCACTTTACACTCTCTTTAATTTACTCTAATTTTTTCATTATAGTGTAGCATGTGTGGATATCATTTTCTTTCCAGACTGTGAGCAATATATGAGAATGATACTCCTGAATTCCCTTGATTGGGTCTCATTCAAATTCTGTATATCCTTTGTCCCTGCAGAAATTGATTGACTAAATGCTATCTGTGTTCAGATCACAATATTTTACAGTATATATTGGCCTTTTATGTTGATATTTATCTTGTAAGTTACTTTTTCTTTATCCTAACAGATGGCTTTGTAGAGTTACAGGCAAGGTTCCTGCCCATAATTCCATCCTCCTACCTTCTCTGCATCTATTTTGCTCTAGTTCCTTTTCTCTTTTCTTTTCTCCATTCCTTTCCCTCTTCCCCTTCCTCCCTTCCTTCCTTCCTACTTTCATTCCTTTCTCCTTTCCTTCCCTCTTTCCTTTTTATTTTAATTTTAGCTTAGTTCATTAATTCTGTTTTTAGGTCGGATGATGAGCAGAGCTCTGCGGATAAAGAGAGACTTGCCAGGTAGGAGAATGGTGTCTTTTAGCATGATGAAGCAGATTGTGCTGCGTTTTCTGTCCTTTTTCTAACTTTTTTTCTTCTCCTTCTCTTTGTATTTTTCCTTATCTGTGACAAGAGAGGACAGGATTTTTTAGAAGTTTGGGTGTAACAGGAACTTTGGCTTCCCCCATCAGAAAGTGGGTTGAGTTGAGGGAACTTTACTTAGGAATTTAAGAAATTGCTGTTAGTTTTAAGTTTTTTCTTTTTCTCTTTGTCAGTGCTAAGTTTCACAGAACAGAAAGCTTTTAGAAATAATGCAGTGGTGCCAGTTGGTGCTTTAGCAGGGAAAGATTCTTTTTATCAGAAAACCAATAAATCATCTGTATGTGCAGTTAGTTCCCTGTATTTACACCTTAGCAGTTACTTTACGCCTCTCTACAAAACTTTTATTTTCCTATGTAGACTCATTAGCCTAGATTACTATCACAAAGAACTAGTGTTTCTTTGGTGACCGAATCCTTTCTTGTGGTGGTTTCCCAGAAAAGTTTTAGCTGCCTTGATGTGGCCAGATCAGGTTTCTGTACTCTAGTGTCAGAAATCTGTCACATACTAGGAAGATGAGTGCTTTAAGTTTGAAAGTAGAATTTTTTGTGTCTCAGGAAAGGTAACTAAATATGGACCTGTGTGATGAGAACCTTTTGCCACTTGGAAAAGTAACTCTACAGTTCTTTTTGGAGACTTGTTCATAATATGGAAATACTACAGAAGAAATGTGCCCAAACTTTTTTGTCCTGTGGACTCTGTGGTTTGTGATAAACTTTGAGACTTAGGGGATAGATCAATGATACAATAACATCTGTTTTTACCGTTTTCCCCCTTTATCTATCATTTATTTCTTTAAGCCACAAATTCATTTTGCTGCCATTTCAACCTGTGCCTCCCACTAACCATTTCACTCTTCAGAAAACTGGTTTGGCATGATGTAGTAGAGAAAGCACTGTATTGGGAATTAGGGCAGCTCTGGGAAAAGTCGCTTTACTACTTGACTTCAGTTTGCTCTTCTCATAAAAAAGAGATTTATGTTAGATTATTAGTTTTCATTTATCTTTCCTTTTTTTTTTGACAAAGAACTTTTGTTCAAATAAAATCTTTAAATGGTGATATAAGTAAATAAAAGAAATAATGCAAAGCTGTTCAAGTAGAAGCAAAAATGCAGCATGTTGTTTGATACTTTCCTTGAGGCATCCTCATGAGGACACTCAGGAACCTACTGGGCTTTTAAAAATTCCTCTTCGAAAACTACTGGATTATTCCTCTTAACAATGGTATCATTCTCTCTTGGTTTTGAGGGTGTTATTGTTGGATATGTGGTCTACTTACCCTGGTAAGATCCAAATGATCTCTTTTCAGACCTTTAAGCATCCTCCACTCCACTTCGCTCCAGCTCCGTAGTTCACTTTGTCTCAGACTGGGGACCCATATGAGATCTAGTAGATGGTATTTTAAGTCTGTTAAGTTCTCTGTACTGGCACCACACCCAGATAAAGAAGGTAGAACTTTATGCAATAATGGGACAAATAAGACTTCAAAATCGAGAAATTCTGCCTTCTAATGTTATGAATAAGAGAGGTTACAACAAAACAATATTTTATAGACCAAGGGAATCTATACTATCAATTCTATTTTTTTTTTTTTTTTTGAGACGGAGTCTCACTCTGTCACCTGGCATCAGCCTAGCTCACAGCAACCTCAAACTCTTGGGCTCAAGTGATTCTGCCTCAGCCTCCCGAGTAGCTTGGACTATAGGTGTGCACCACCACACCAAGCTAAGTTTTCTATTTATAGTAGAGATGGGGTCTTGCTCTTGCTCAGGCTGGTTTTGAACTCCTGACCTTGAGCTGTCCTCCACCTTGGCCTCCCAGAGTGCTAGGATTACAGGCGTGAGCCACTGCGCCTAGCCCTATACTATCAATTCTTACGTCAGCTACTGAGCAGCATACTTGAGTTGGCAGAAGTTCGTCATTTTCCAGCCTTTAAATAGTTGAATTAGGAAACATGGAGATTATTTGTCCCTTAGGAACTTAAGTGAATGATATCAACATTTTTAAATACTATAATTTCCTAAAACATTTTTTATTCTGAGAGAGTGGTAATTTACATAGAAAGTGAAGTTACCAGGAGATAGAGAAAACTGCAGTGTCTGCTTTTTCTCTGTTTGCCTTGTTATTTCTATTCCATGCTTGCTTTGCATGAGAAGATTGGCAAACTTTACTTTAACTTCTGAGACTTTAGCATCACTAAATCTAAATACCACGTTCTTCAGCAGCTCACTTGGTGTCCATATCACTCTCTTTGCTACCAAATGACCAGATGTGACCACCTGGATGGGGCTTCTCTCTCTCCATGCAGGGAAAATCATAGTGAAATTGAACGGCGGCGACGGAACAAGATGACAGCCTACATCACAGAACTGTCAGATATGGTACCCACCTGTAGTGCCCTGGCTCGAAAACCAGACAAGCTAACCATCTTACGCATGGCAGTTTCTCACATGAAGTCCTTGCGGGGAACTGGCAACACATCTACTGATGGCTCCTACAAGCCGTCTTTCCTCACTGATCAGGTCTCTGGGACTCAAAACTCTGAGAGGGTCTAGAATCTGGGTGAATGTGTTGAAAGTTTTGATTTTTTTTGGACAAGAATTCAGCTCTTCAGGAAAAATTTCAGATCATGGGAAAATGAATTTCAATCCTTGGCTATAATATTAATCAGCACTGGGACAATGAGAAGTAGAGAAGAATTGTGAAAACTATTTAGCAAGTTTATAGGTATTTTAGAACTTGGCTCATAAATACAGCATGCAAGGTGGAAGAAGAACAGTGGAATCACAGAGAAAGGAAATGACAATGTCCATGGAACCAGTCCTCTTCCTTGGCTTTAGGGTTATAGAGGATGGAAGAAATCTATTTTTCGTCTGAAGCACCTTCTAATTTTAGTGATAGTAGTCTAACAGGCAGTCATTGTTGCTCAGGGATGTGCTCTGTTACACATGATGTACTTGAAAAAACTAGAGAAGACAGAAACATTTTTTGCCTTTCTGGAATTCAGTCTGTATATAAATATGTGCGTGGCAGGATACACAAGTGAAAATGATAGGAAAATGCATACACAAAGGAAGTACTTTTTTTCTTATTAATAATTTATATGGGACTAGATAAATATATACTAGAGGGATGGCTAAAGTGAATATAATGGCCAGACTTTAGTGAGGGTGGTTAGGGAAAACTTCTCAGAATAAGGAAACCATGTTCTATTTTGATTATTAAAAGTAACAAAAGATCACTGCAGAAAAATTTGAAAAATACAGGAAGAATAAGGAATAAAAAAATGTACCATAACATCAATCAAGGATGCACTTCATGTCACTGTTTTAATCAAAGGATTAGAAAGAAGGAAGGAAAATGGTTTGGGAGAAAGGAATCAGAATTTTCCAAATAGAATGGTCTGTTTAAAAGCGTATATACCACAGATTCTTTATACTTATATACATTGAAATAGTTAATTTGTTCTAACAGTACACGTGCAGATATTGATTCAGCAAACTCCAGTTATTCACCTTTTGTGGGCAAACTAGGTGCTTTGTGTTGTGAGAAATATGAAAAATGGTAAGAGATAGTCACTAGTGGAAACAGACATGTGAATAAGTCATAAACACAGAACCAGTTCTATAATAAAGGTGCAATAATAAGTCCTATAGAAGTGCAGATATGAAAAATGAGTTGGGGAATAGTGCTGTAGATTTTGGGAGTAACTTAGAAGTATGAGAGTAATTGGGTTACTCAGGAAAGTCAAGTGGTTTAGCATGTTATGGGAGATGATAATAGGAATCTGATGATGGAGTGTTTGGATGTTATATTAAAGAATTTATCTTTTAATTTTTATATAGTGGGAGCCATCAAAAATATGCTAGTAGATCTGATATCATTTTAAGGATAAAGAGAGGGAAAGCAGGGAAACCACTTCATTAGAATAAGATGACTAGGACAGTGACATACCATTGGAAAGTAGAATTCATAAAACTGAGTTATCACTGGACTGTGAAGGAGAGTAGTTAGATTTTGAGGCTTCTAGTTGGGAAGATGCTGTTAATCAAGAAAGGGAATGCTGGAAGAACACAGGAGATTGTTTTTTGGAGAGGGAAATAATGATTGAGGTTTTGAGATGTCGATGTTGAGTTGCTGGCAGAATATCTGTTTGGAAATATTTAACAGATATTTGGAATTCAGGTCTGCTGAAAGCTCAAGAAAAAAAATTAAACAAGTCTAGGGAAATAGACTTGGGTATTATTATTTCATAGTGGAGAGGAGTAGATGTGATTTCCCAGGAAGAAAGTGTGGCATGAATAGAGAAGAGGACTTAAGATAGAACTTTGGAAATATCTACATATAAGACTTGAACAAAGGAAAGGGAGCCTGAAGCAGAAGAGGAAGCAAAAATTGGACTGCAGTGTCATAGAAGCAGCTAGGGGAAAATAAAATTTAAAGGATAGAATGGACAATGTCAGGATTTTGCAGAGAGGTTGAATAAAATGATGAAGATCTAGGAAAAGGGACTTGAATTGGCAATTAGGGGGACATTAGTAACCTCCAAAAAACCCCAAAATCAATATAGTAGAGTGAAGATTGCACTGGGATTGAGAAATAATTGAAAGGTAAGAGAATAGAGCCAGTAAATGTAACATTATTCTTAGTCTAAGTTTGTCACTGAAAAAAGAGAGACAAGTTGGGCTAAGTTGAGGGAAGATTTGTATAGAATTGAGAAAACTTTATCATTTTTATAGGCTTGAGGGGAAAGAGAAAGTGGAGAATATTTGTTGAGCAAGATCCTAAAAAGAGATCAGAGAAGATGGAGTCAAGGAGTCAGTTATTTTTAGTGGTGAGCCTGTTTATTCCTCCTCTTGACTCCTGCAATAAAGAGGAAGAGGTGGATAGTGACATAGAGAAATTGAGGAAATATCTATTGGAAAAAACCCTGTCTGAAGGTAATACATTTAGGGTGGAAACCCGTGGCTGTGAATCAGGTGTGAGCCAGCAGTTGCTTATGGAGAGAGATATATGGCCTTAAGTGTCTTACTGCTACCCATGAATAGAAATACTTGGTTTTTCAGGGTTCAGTATTAATTTTTATTTTTTTTCCTTGGGCAGGAACTGAAACATTTGATCTTGGAGGCAGCAGATGGCTTTCTGTTTATTGTCTCTTGTGAGACAGGCCGGGTTGTATATGTCTCTGACTCGGTAACTCCTGTTTTGAACCAGCCACAGTCTGAATGGTTTGGCAGCACACTCTATGATCAGGTGCACCCAGATGATGTGGATAAACTTCGTGAGCAGCTTTCCACTTCAGAAAATGCCTTGACAGGTGAGAGTTACGTGGATGGAAAATGAATGGAAAGTCCTTTTTTTCCTGAGACATAAGTGATATTTTAGCTCTTAAATTGGTTTGTTGACTCTGGCAAGGCTTCTAAAATTTTCTCCTTTAATGACTATAACCAGTTCTTTTTATCCACATGCAGATATCTAATTGTGGTTTATGTTTAGAAAATGTTTCCTTAGTGATAATGTTCATATGAAAGTTTACTTTTATCTTAATATTAGTGTAAATAAAATGGTAAAAGCCAAACCTACATTTTTTCCCATTTTTTAAATAATTAAAATTATTTAATTCGTATGGATTATTTTATTTGTATGGATAATTATCTGGTGGCTTTGTGTGCTAGGTTCTGTGATAATAGATTTTTATTTTATAGGGGAGTAGTTATTGGTCAGCGTATAAGGTGTTTTTTGTTGGTTTTATTTTGCATTTGTACAGTTTTTCTTTTTTTTCACACTATTTCAATGCTATTCAGTCCTTTTGACATAGTTTGGCTAGAGGAAACAAGTCAGAGCTCTTTCTGAGCAACTCTAGGAAAAAGTTTAAAGTGGAAGCAGGTAAAAACTGGTAGTTAAAATAAAATGCAAGAAATTTTAATATGATAATATTAATGTTGGTCTTTAGTTTTTCCTTCTTTTATATTTTTATGCATTTCATTTTTCTAGTTTTCATTTTTACCAGATGTTGCCCTTGGTTTCTATATAATAAAGGGGAGAAACAATTTTGGCTTGAAACAGGTTATTTGTTTCCATAGAGTATAAAATTACTTGTTTTGGCCAGCCGTGGTGGCTCACGCCTATAATCCTAGCATTCTGGGAAGCCAAGGCGGGAGGATCACTCAAGGTCAGGAGTTCGGGAGGATCACTCAAGGTCAGGAGTTCAAAACCAGCCTGAGCAAGAGCAAGATCCCGTCTCTACTTAAAATAGAAATAATTAGCTGGGAACTACTAAAAATAGAAAAAATTAGCCAGGCATGGTGGTGCTCACCTGTAGTCCCAGCTACTTGGGAGGCTAAGACAGGAAGATGGCTTGAGCCCAGGAGTTTGAGGTTGCTGTGAGCTAGGCTGACCCCATGGCACTCTAGCCCAGGCAACAGAGCAAGACTATGTATGTATGTATAAATAAATAGATACATAAATAAAAAAAATAAAATTACTTGTTTTTATTTTTATTTTTTTATTATTTTTACTTTAATTATTTTAAAAATTATTAAACTTTTCTTTTTTTTTTCATGGTCAACTCTTTTCATGCAGAAACAGAATTACTTGTTTTTAAATAATCACATACACTCTGTGTCTGTGTCTGTATGTGTCTAAAAATAATCAGACACGAGAATATAGCCTTTTGCTTTCTACCACTACTTCCACTGCTATATTCCCTTGCATGCAGTTATTTTCAGTGCTGCCTTTGAACTTAAGAGTGAAATTCATTGATGAGAAAAGAAGTATTTTAGGCTTGGAAAAGAACCCATCTCCTGCTTGGCATATTCTGTTTAAGCAAGGAGATTGAGGGTACAGAATAGGATGCTTGCTTATTTTTGCATTCCAGTATCTCCCTGCCCTTCCCCACCCCCACAAAAATGTACTCCAGACTGCTCTTCACATCCTCCTTTAGGGCGTATCCTGGATTTAAAGACTGGAACGGTGAAAAAGGAAGGTCAGCAGTCTTCCATGAGGATGTGTATGGGCTCAAGGAGATCATTTATTTGCCGGATGAGGTGAGTGTCAGGGTAAGCATTGCAATTTGACATAGGAAGAATTAAGACCTCAGGGTTTTATTTGTCAGAGGAATTAAAATTTTAAATCCAAGCTCCAATTGGATGAAATTTAACTTTCAAGATCCAGATGGGTGGTTAACACAGAATAAAGTATTTGGAGCTGGGCACAGTGGCTCATGCCTGTAATCCTAGCACGCTGGGAGGCCAAGGCGGGAGGATCATTTGAGCTCAGGAGTTCAAGACCAGCCTGAGCAAGAGTGAGACCCCATCTCTACTAAAAATTTTTTAAAAAAGTAAAGTATTTGGTTATCATCTTGCATCGTTAAAAGGAAATACAATTAAAAATCAATAAAGAGTATTAAATTTTTAAAAAATAAATAAATAAATAAAGTATTTGGTAAAAGAACTAACATTTTACTGAACTCCTCCCAAGCCAGACACTGTGATAGGTGCATTTTGTTTGTCATCATGTTTAATCTCCACAATTACCCCATAGGGAAAGATTCATAGTTACCATTTTGCTGTTGAAAAAGCAGATTTAAAGAAATGAACTTCCCCACACTGTTAATATATAACGTGTTTGATATAGGATTTTGTTTTAATTCATAGTAGTCTGACCTATATTTATTTCCCATTACATTACAAGAAAACATCCATTTACTTAGACCATTTCTGCATTTTTTTGGGGGGGGGGTTAGAAATTTGAGACTTATGTCTTTCAATTAGTGTTTAGTGTTTGTAAATTAAATACTGTACATTTTAGAATTCTGTAGAAAGGATGGTAGTCCTTTCTATCTAGGTAAAAAAAAGTCTCTTAAAGTCACAAAGTAAGTTCAAATTGTATAATGGACACTGACTACGTTTTACTGAAAGGATGCTTATTAGAAATGATGGGTAGAATATTAAGGACAATTTATTCTGGGAGAGGTACAAAACTGAATATTATGTTGCTTAGTGATTTAGAGCCTCTGGACTCAGGCTGCTGGATTTTGTTTTAATCCATACTATCCTATGGATTTGAATTCTAGCTTTTCTAGCTTTGGCACTATCTTTTGAAATCTTGGACAGATTATATGACTACTTTGTGGTTTGATTTCATCTAATATCGGAGGTAATATTAGTATCAACCTCATAAAGTTGTTATGAGAATTAGATGATTTTTTTTTTTTTTTGAGGAATAAAGTCTTTATTGGGCTCAGACCAGGAGTCCATGGGTCTTGAGGACTTCTGTATTTGTCAATTTTCTTCTCTACGTTCTTTTCGGCCTGTTCCCTTAGCCTCATGAGCTGCTTTTTCTTCCGGTAGTGGATCTTGGCCTTCTCCTTCTTTTTCTCCTCCAGGGTGGCTGTCACTGCCTGGTACTTCCAGCCAACCTCGTGATTTTTTTTTTTTTTTTTTGAGACAGAGTCTCGCTTTGTTGCCCAGGCTAGAGTGAGTGCCGTGGCGTCAGCCTAGCTCACAGCAACCTCAAACTCCTGGACTCAAGCAATCCTACTGCCTCAGCCTCCCAAGTAGCTGGGACTACAGGCATGCGCCACCATGCCCGGCTAATTTTCTCTCTATATATTAGTTGGCCATTTAATTTCTTTCTATTTATAGTAGAGCTGGGGTCTCGCTCTTGCTCAGGCTGGTTTCGAACTGCTGACCTTGAGCAATCCACCTGCCTCGGCCTCCCAGAGTTCTAGGATTACAGGCGTGAGCCACCGCGCCCGGCCTAGATGAGTTTTAATATATGTAAAGATGTTTAGAACAGAGCATAGCACATATTAAGCTATGTTTTATTATTATTTTAAGGAAATGATAGAGGGAAAGTAGGATTGGAGGGAGTATCCCAATATGTGGTACGTAGCTAATTTGAAGAGATAGGCAGGAGAAAGATAAGTAACAATTAGATTCGGTTGTGGTTAATGTAGAGCAAGAGTAAACAAGCCATAGCCCTATATTTGTAAACAAAGTTTTATTGGAACATAGCTATGCTCATTTGTTTGTGTATGATCTGTGGCTGCTCTAGTGCTATAATGCCAGAGTTGACTGGTTACAACAGAATGTATATGGCCCATAAAGCTAAAAATGTATACTATCTGATACTTTACAGAAAAAGTTTGCCAGCTCCTGATGTAGAAAATCTTTGCATTTGAAAAACATGTAGAACATTTTGACTTCAAATTCTAAGACAGTTTTAGAAATACCAAACCTGACTTACCTTTATCCTTTCTTTTTAGAAGGATTACCAGTTTTTGTGTCTAGTTGTATCCAGAGCCTGTTATCCTGCTGTTACTATGGAAAGTTCTTTGATAATACAGACTGACTGCTTTTAATTTCTTTTGTTCATTGAAATAGGTGTGGCAACAGCTCTGTGGACCCAGTCTCTGTGAATAGACTGAGCTTTGTGAGGAATAGATGCAGGTGAGGTCCTAAGCAGTGAAAACCAAAGCAATGGCCAGGTACCTGTAGAAATCATCACTTTTTTTTGGCTATCTCACTATAGTCCTTCCTTCAGCAGCCCTCACCCTTATCCCTTACCTCCTGGTTACTTTTTTTTCTGGCAATGTTTTCCTGAACATCTAAAGTTTCTCTTGCTCATCCTGTTTATGGAAGTTGCCCTACTACTTTACATACTTTCCTTCTTTTGCAGTACCTTTTATTGCTTTACTTTGGTAAGGGTCAAAAATATGGTGGTCACTTTAGGGTGGCAAAGGTCCAACTACTGATTATCTATCCTGTTTTTGAAACACCCAAGAGCCTGCAGTTAAAGGTGCTAAGCAAGCATTGCTCTTTAAGTTTTACTAGGTAGAATTTTTCTCCTGACTCCTGTAACTCTTCTAGGAATGGACTTGGCTCTGTGAAGGATGGGGAACCTCACTTCGTGGTCGTCCACTGCACAGGTTACATCAAGGCTTGGCCACCAGCAGGTAGGAACGTGGGATAGTGATTTCTCCTTTGGTGCAGTTGGTTCCTCACATAGTCTGTGAAAGTTAGCTGACATTTTATTATGTACCTGGTATATCTATGTACTTGGCTGAAAGAAAATAGGAAAGAAAAAGCAGATTCCTTTCCTTCCATTATTAAGCTTATATTCTAGTTGAGGAGATGGATTACTCAGACTTGAAAATAACTCAATATTGGCTGTATACAGAATATAGTTTTTAAATACAAATGTAAATTGTAAAATGTAAATTTATAATAATCTACATTGAATACCCATGTTCGAAGCAGTTGTTGGAAAGAAACATTGGCATTGAACACAGTTAATTTGGGAAAGCTTTCTAAAGTAGGAGCAAGACTGAAGGAGAAAGAGAAAATGGCTTAATTCTAACAATTTATAAAGGGGTTATTTTCTGCAAAGGTTTTAAATCAAGCTTAGAGCAGATTAGTTTTATTAGAACTTGAGATCAAACAAGGAATGTAAGGAAGGGTGGTTGGGATGCAGGGATCATCTTTTTAAATTGGCTTATCAGAGTTTCCAAATCTTAGCAACTTTATTACTTCCTTGCTGGAGATAGGTATTGAGAATTGGGGAGGGGGTTATGGGAAGAAAGAAACTAAGAGAAAAAGAGGCAAGGGTGGTATATTTTGGAAAGAGATTAAATTTGGGTTATGGAAAAACCTGGGTTTGATTCCTGACATTATTATTTATTAGTGATATAACCCAGGGTAAATTGTTTGCCTTTTATAAATCCCAGATTTCTCATCTATAATTTGGAGCTAGTACATCTTATATAGGGTTATTTTGAAGATTAGATTTAATGTAAGGAAAACATCTAGCTCGGTCCCTGGCATAGTTCAGCTACCCAGTAAGTGGTAGTTAATGTAATTTTTAAAAATTAATTGAAGTATTTCAACATACAAATTTTCAGGGGACACACACACAAAAAAAAAATTAATTGAAGTAGTAATGACATTTGAACTTTTTACTCTATATACTGTATAAACCGTACATTTAAGGTATGTGTGATCTTTCATACCTCTGTGTAGCTATCAAAGAAATACTATTTTCCAGGATAAAAAGAAGATAACTATGCAAAGAATAGGGGGAAATAGTTTTCTTCCCTTTCCATGTAAAATATTGGCATCTCCCCTTTCCAGGGAACATAAATAACTCTTGGTGTTTGGTATAATTTCATTTTTGGTTATTTGCTTACTTTAAAAGTCACAGGGTGGGTAAAACATCTGTTTTCTGACTATGATATGGTCACAAAATGGCTGCCTTTATATATGTTTGGTTTGGCCACCATAGTTTCTTAGACTATTTTAGGTGAGACTTGTACTTTCCAGTTTGTTATAATTAATATGAATAAAATAAGTGAATTTATATAGCTATATAAAAATACTTAAAACAATGACTCTTTGTAATTGTTTATCTTTATTCTTAGCATTATTTATCATTCTTTTTTGCCTTATATTTTACCTTTTCATACCTAAATGTATTTTGAATCATTATTTGTCTGACTTTTGAAGGCATTTGAGTTTGAGAACCCTGTTAAACCTTTTAACTTGACCTTCCTGAAGGTGTTTCCCTCCCAGATGATGACCCAGAGGCTGGCCAGGGGAGCAAGTTTTGCCTAGTTGCCATTGGCAGATTGCAGGCAAGTGTGAATTTTCCCCACCTATCTATAACCTTTTTCAATTAGAAGAAATCTTCAGGAGTCATTTATGTTAATTTTCCTTTCTGAATACAAATAAAGAATTCCATAAAACTCTAAAAATGTGGGCCGGGCACAGTGGCTTACACCTGTAATCCTAGCACTCTGAGAGGCCCAGGCGGATGGATTGCTCGAGGTCAGGAGTTCAAAACCAGCCTGAGCAAGAGTGAGACCCCCTCTCTACTATAAATAGAAAGAAATTAGGCCGGGCGCGGTGGCTCACGCCTGTAATCCTAGCACTCTGGGAGGCCGAGGCGGGCGGATTGCTCGAGGTCAGGAGTTCGAAACCAGCCTGAGCAAGAGTGAGACCCCGTCTCTACTATAAAATAGAAAAAAATTAATTGGCCAACTAATATATATATATAGAAAAAATTAGCCGGGCATGGTGGCACATGCCTGTAGTCCCAGCTACTCGGGAGGCTGAGGCAGCAGGATCGCTTGAGCCCACAAGTGTGAGGTTGCTGTGAGCTAGGCTGACGCCATGGCACTCACTCTAGCCTGGGCAACAAAGTGAGACCCTGTCTCAAAAAAAAAAGAAAGAAATTAATTGGCCAACTAACATATATAGAAAAAATTAGCCAGGCATGGTGGTACATGCCTGTCGTACCAGCTACTCGGGGGGCTGAGGCAGAACGATTGCTTGAGCGCAGGAGTTTGAGGTTGCTGTGAGCTAGGTTGACGCCATGACACTCACTTTAGCCTGGGCAACAAAGTGAGACTCTGTCTCAAAAAATAAAAAAATAAAAAATAATAATAATAAAAATGTGAAGGAATGTAGCATTCATAGCAACCTTTTCATTTTATTGTTACATGATGAACGATAGAGAAATGGAATTATTTTGATTCTTTTCTTTTTCTTTTTTTTATTTTTTTTTTGAGACAGAGTCTCGCTTTGTTGCCCAGGCTATAGTGAGTGCTGTGGCGTCAGCCTAGCTCACAGCAGCCTTAAATTCCTGGGCTCAAGCAATCCTTCTGCCTCAGCCTCCCGAGTAGCTGGGACTACAGGCATGCGCCACCATGCCCGGCTAATTTTTTCTCTATATATTAGTTGGTCAATTGATTTCTTTCTATTTATAGTAGAGACAGGGTCTCGCTCTTGCTCAGGCTGGTTTCAAACTCCTGATCTTGAGCAATCCACCCACCTTGGCCTCCCAGAGTGCTAGGATTACAGGCGTGAGCACCGCGCCTGGCCTATTTTGATTATTTTCATAAGTGTAGATAGGTTTCTTGACTACTTGGACAATGATTTATCCATCTGAATAATGAGCACAGCCTACCCAGATGAAAGTAGGTGGTTTTGGGTTGAATTTTTTTTTTGGAGACAGGGTTCTGGCCTGAGTGCCCGTGGCATCTTCCTAGCTCACAGCAACCTCAAATTCCTGGGATCAAACATTCCTCCCGCCTTAGACTCCCTAGTGCTAGGATTATAGGCATGAGCCACTGAATTCCTTTTTCTTATTTGACTAACTTGGTAAAGAGTATATGTGTGGGCTGGGCTCAGTGGCTCCCACCTATAATCTTAGTGCTTTGGAAGGCCAAGGTAGGAGGATTGGATGATTGCTTGAGACCAGAAGTTCAAGACCAGCCTGTATGGGAATAAAGCTAGACCTTATGCCCTCTCTGATCGTCATTGTCATTGTTTTCCTCTCTGGATGAAATGTGAAAGTTTAGAAATTCCTAAAAGTGGGAGTCTCATGTCTATGCAAATGAATGATCATAAAGAGATGGAAAATACATTTGTAAAGAATGGTGTCATTTTACCTCATTTTTATCTCTTCATTCTCAGGTAACTAGTTCTCCCAACTGTACAGACATGAGTAATGTTTGCCAACCAACAGAATTTATCTCCCGACACAACATTGAGGGGATCTTCACTTTTGTGGATCATCGCTGTGTGGCTACTGTTGGCTACCAGCCACAGGTGAGGAGCTGGAACTATACATTAATGATACAGAGGCCCTGTTTTTCTTTGTCTGTTTGAAATTATACAATTAGATAATGGCTAAGATAGCCAAAATATAGTCCCAGTTCAGAAAGAGTGCAGTGTTGGAGTGTTGGTATGAAGATAGATAAATAGATCAGTAGGCCAGAACAGAACCTATTCTTAACATTTGTCAGCTGAGTTTAAGCAAAAGTGACAAGAGCAATGCAGTGGGGAAAAGAAGTCTAACAAATGGTGATGGAACAATTGAATATCCATATGCAAAAAAAAGAAAGAAAGAAAAGAACAGAACTTAGAGCTTACCTCACACCATAACAAAAATCAACTTAAAGGCCTAAATATTTAAGAGCTAAAGTTATAAATAAACTTTTAGGAGATAATGTTTGTGATCCTGAGTTAGGCAAAGATATTTTATATTATGCTAAAAGCATGAATCATAAAAGAAAAAATGGATAAATTGGGATTCAGTTGAAAATTAAAATTTGTCCTCTTTTTTTGAGACAGAGTCTCGCTTTGTTGCCCAGGCTAAAGTGAGTGCCGTGGCGTCAGCCTAGCTCATAGCAATCTCAAACTCCTGGGCAAGCAATCCTTCTGCCTCAGCCTCCAGAGTAGCTGGGACTATAGGCATATGCCACCATTCCTGGCTAATTTTTTCTATATATATTAGTTGGCCAATTAATTTCTTACTATTTATAGTAGAGATGGGGTCTTGCTCTTGCTCAAGCTGGTTTCAAACTCCTGACCTCGAGCAGTCCGCCCGCCTCGGCCTCCCAGAGTGCTAGGATTACAGGCGTGAGCCACCACGCCCGGCCAAAATTTGTCCTCTTAAAAGGATATTATTAAGAAAGTGAAAAGACCAGACACAAACTGAGAGAGAATATTTACAAATCATATGTCTGAAAAAGAATTTGCATCAGGAATATATAAACAACTCATTAAGATAAACAGCCAATAAAAAGGAGGAACAAAATTCGACATTTTACTAAAGAAGAAATGAGAGTGACACATGAAAATATGCTCAACATCTTTTTATCATTAAGAAAGTGCAAATTAAAACCTCAATTAGTTACCACTATATACTCATTACAGTGGTTATAATCAAAAAGTGTTGGTGGAATGTGGAGAAGCTGGAACCCTCATACATTGTTGGTAGACATGTAAGATGGTATTGCTACTTTGCAAAAACATTTTGACAGTTTCATAAAAAGGTAAATATAGGCTGGGTGCAGTGGCTCATGCCTATAATCCTAGCACTCTGGGAGGCCCAGGCGGGCGGATTGCTCGAGTTCAGGAGTTCGAAACCAGCCTGAGCAAGAGGGAGACCCCGTCTCTACTATAAAAATAGAAAGAAATTAATTGGTCAACTAATATATATATGGAAAAAATTAGCCGAGCATGGTGGCACATGCCTGTAGTCCCAGCTTCTCGGGAGGCTGAGGCAGGAGGATTGCTTGAGCCCAGGTTATTGAGGTTGCTGTGAGCTAGGCTAATGCCACGGCACTCACTCTAGCCTGGGCAACAAAGCGAGACTCTGTCTCAAAAAAAAAAATAGGTAAATATATACTTTCATCCTACAACTTAGCAATTCCACTCCTGGGTATCTACCCACTAGAAATGAAAACGTATGTTCACACAAAGGTTTGTACGTAAGTGTTCATAGCTGTATTATTGGTAATAGCCAAAAACTGGAAACTGTTTAAATGTCCATTATCATTTTGTGAATGAATACATAAACTGTGGTATATCCATGTTAGAATACTCCTGAGCAATAAAAGGAATAAACCACTAATACATGCAGCAGTAGAGATGAACTTCAAAAATATTATGCTAAGTGAAAGAAGCCAGACCCAAAATACTATATAGTGTATGATTCCATTTATATGAAATTTCTAGAAATGGTGAAACTGAAGAGGCAAAAAGCAGACCAGTCGTTGGCCGGAGGGTGAGAGCAGGGATTAAATGCATATGAGCACAAGGGAACTTCTTGGTGTAATGAACATGTTCCAAAAGCTGGATTGTGATAAGGTTGTACAGTCGTATAAATTTAGTAATAATCAACAACTCGTATACTTAGAATGGGTGAATTATGAATATACATTATATCTAAAATTTGTAATACTTATTAAAATAAATGTATATTCTAAAAAAAATATTCAAGAAGCCGTTTGTTTAGCAGATTTCATCTTCTTTTAGCAGATTCCATCTTTTATTTCTTTGTTTTGTTTTGTTGTTGTTTTTTTTTTACTTTCTTTTTTTAGTTTTTTACTTCATTTTTTTTTCTTTCTTTCATCATTTACATTGTGGTTTTATTCTTTTATTTCGTATCTTTTTTATTCCTCCCACTTATCTACAGTCTTGGGATAAAGATGGAAGAAAAATAAAATCCAAGTTCCCAGCTAGTTGACCTGGAAAGTTAGATGACCATAAAAGTATATATTTTACTGGCCGGGCATGGTGGCTCACACCTGTAATCCTAGCACTCTAGGAGGCCAAGGTGGGCGGATCGCTCAAGGTCAGTAGTTCGAAACCAGCCTGAGCAAGACCCCGTCTCTACTAAAAAAAATAGAAAGAAATTAATTGACCAACTAAAAATATATACAAAATTAGCCGGGCATGGTGGCGCATGCCTGTAGTCCCAGCTACTTGGGAGGCTGAGGCAGTAGGATTGCTTGAGCCCAGGAGTTTGATGTTGCTGTGAGCTAGCCTGATGCCATGGCACTCACTCTAGCCTGGGCAACAAAGTGAGACTCTGTCTCAAAAAAAAAAAATATATAATATATTATATTATATATATATATATACATATATACATGTATATGTATATATATATTTTTTCTTTCTGTCTTCTAGGAACTATTAGGAAAGAATATCGTAGAATTCTGTCATCCTGAAGACCAACAACTTCTAAGAGATAGCTTCCAACAGGTAACTTTTCTCCTGGTTTGGATTTGAATAAATACTTATTGACTATTTATTAACTAAGCACCATAGCAGGCACTACAGTTTTATGTTCCTTAGTACTTAGCGTATATTTTTAAGAAATAGAAAAGATTTAATACTTTGAAACTGTGGATAATGTCCAAGGTACTTCTGTTCGGCTTTGGCTACTTAACTATCTTGTATCTAGCTATCTGTATCCAAAGAGTTGTCTTTAAAGTGTTTAAAGATATTGTATATGTTACTGATCTGTGGATTGTAGTAGGAAAATTTATTTCACACAGTTCTTTTATAGCTAAGTGAGAGTTAACTCTTAGTTTAAGCTGGCTATTAATTATAATTTTCAGGCCCTAGTTCCTGTAAATATCTGGTGAATTTAATAGACTTGGCCCTAGATAATAGCTCTTACTTTATATCATACAAGTTAATTAACCTCTTTAAGTCTAAGTAGTATCCTTGTGGATATAATGGATATAGTAATAATACTTAAATTCAGAGGTTTGTTTGGAAGATTAAATGAGATAATGCACATTAAGCACATAGCCCCGTGATTGACACATGGTAGTTACAAAATAAATGTTAGCTGGTATTATGTTTTTTTAATTGTTTGGAAGGGAGAGTTAAAAGATTATTTTCCATTCTATGAGATTAGAAATGAAAATAACCTAGAAATGAAAATAACCTAAAATGACTAAAGCTGACTTAGTTTTATTTATGGAAACCTCTGTGGGTGCCAGAAATTCTCAGGTTTAGGGGGAAAAGCTAGGACTGAAGAGCAATATGTAAGCTATATTCAATGTCATTAGACTTACCAAATATCTGGTATAGACTTGTAAAGCTAGCTCAGCATATCTTTAATGGACTTTCCAAGGGAAGTGGAGAAACAGTCTTTTCCCTCCAGGAAATAATTGTTATTCCTGTTTGACTTTGACTAGAGTGGTCAGTTAGCTTGAGATTCTGAGAAGAAACATGGTAAATGTATCTCCTCCTTATTTAGTCACTTAGTTTTTACTCCCTCATGTTGTTTTAACATTGAAAAAGACTGGTGCTTCAAGAACACGAGAGTCTCAGTGTTGTAGAAATTGGAAATTGTTAATTTAAATTTCTAAAGAAAATATTCAGTATGTTCCACTGATGGCATGATAACTTTTTCAGGTGGTAAAATTAAAAGGCCAGGTGCTGTCTGTCATGTTCCGGTTCCGGTCCAAGAATCGAGAATGGCTCTGGATGAGAACTAGTTCCTTTACTTTCCAGAACCCTTACTCAGATGAAATTGAGTACATCATCTGTACCAACACCAATGTGAAGTATGTACCATACAGGCTGAGTAGAAAAAGCAAACTGTTTTTCCTCTGCTCTCACAGCACAAAATACTTCTGACACCAGATTTGTGTGGGTTTTTACTTACACCAAGTAAGCATTCATTTCTGCAGCGGACACCAGGTGGGTGTCCTTTAATTCAATTCAATTCACTGTCTACCTGGAGATAGCATCGGGTCTCTCAGGTTGAGGGCTCAGCTCAGTCTCATAAGACTGCCCCCATTTCTGATGCCAGTTGCAAGCCCCAGGTTGTTTTGCCTGTGCTCAACCAACCCGCTATAAATTGGGATTCCTACTATCTTCTCCTTGGGTTCGATTAATTTGCTTGAGTGTCTCACAGAACTCAGAGAAACACTTACTTACATTTATCAGTTTATTATACAGGATATTACAAAGGACACTGATGAATAACAGAAGAAATAGATAGGGCATGGTATAGGGGAAGGAGCCCAGAGCTTCCATGCCCTTTCCTGGTGTGCTACCCTCTAGGAATCTCCCCGTGTTTATCTATCCAGAAACTCCTCAAACCCAGTCCCTTTGGATTTTTATGGAAGTTTCATTACATAGGCATGATTGATTAAATCATTGGGCATTGGTGATTGGCTTAACCATCAGCTCTCTCACCTCCCCAAGGTTGGGGACTAGGGCTAAATTAAGTCCCAACTATCTAATCTTTTGGTGGTCTTCCCATGACTGCTCCCATCCTGAAGCTACCTAGGGGCTGCCAGCCCAGAATCAACTCATTAGCATACGAAGATACTTATCACTTTGAAGATTCCAAGAATTTTAGGAATCAGGAAACTGGATGAAAACAAATTTGTATAGTTGACCTTTTTTTTTGAGACAGTTTTACTCTGTTGCCTGGGCTAGAGTGCCTAGGTGTCAGCCTAGCTCACAGCAACCTCAAACTCCTGGCTCAAGCGATCCTCCTGCCTCAGCCTCCTGAGTAGCTGGGACTATAGCCACGTGTCACCGTGCCTGGCTAATTTTTTCTATTTTTAGTTGTTTGGCTAATTTCTTTCTATTTATAGTAGAGACAGGGTCTTGCTCTTGCTCAGGCTGATCTCAAACTCCTGAGCTCAAGCAATCCTCCCACCTCGGCCTCCCAAAGTGCTAGGATTTCAGGCGTGAGCCACTGCACCCGACCTATAGTTGACCCTTGAGCAGCTTGAGTTTGAACTGTGCAGGTCCACTTATATGTGGATTCTTTTCAATAAATATATTGAAAAGTTTTTTCAATATTTGTGACAATTGGAAACAACTTGCAGAGGAAAAAATAAAAAAATTAAGAAAAAGTTAGGTACATCATGAATGCATAAAATATATGTAAATGATAGCCCACTTTATTTACTACCATAAAATATACATAAATCTATTATAAAAAGTTTAAATTTATCAAAAGTTACCCAAACACAGATAAAACATGGCACCATTCTTAGTCTACAGAAATGTAAACAAAAGTAAAGATGCCAGACTTGATAAGGCAGCTCACACCTGTAATGCTAGCACTTTGGGAGGCTGTGCAGGATTGCTTGAAGCCAGAAGTTTGAAACTAGCCTTAGCAACATAGCAAGACCCCCGACTAGCAGTCCTGGCTGTTTGGGAGGATGAGGCAGGAGGATCACTTGAGCTTGGAAGTTGGAGGCTGGCAGTGAGCTATTGTCATGCCACTGCATTCCAGCTTGGGTGACAGAGTGAGACCCCATCTCTTTAAAAAAGTAAAGATACAGTATTAAATCATCACTGCATAAAATTAACTGTAGTACATATTGTACTGCTATAATAATTTTATAGCCACATCCTATTGCTATTGCAGCATGCTCAGCTGTTGCAAGTATCCATTTAAGATTCTGTGTGACACCACTCATCTCTGTGTGAGCGGTTTTTCTCTCTAGTAAATTGTATTATATATAGCGGTAAAAACTGATCTCTCGAGGTTCTTGTGTATTTTTCATTGTGTTTAGTGCAGTACCATACTAAGTGCCGCTAGCAATGCTGAAATCGTTTCCAAGAAGGAGAGAAAAGTAATGTTATTATAAGAAAAGTTGTTTGATGTATACCATAGATTGAGGACTGCAGGTGCAGTTGCTTGCCATTCCAGACACACCATTCATCTCATAAACAGATGATATCAATAAATACAGTATAGTATAATAAATATATTATCTCTTCCTTATGATTTTTTTCCTTCTACAACAGTCATCTTAGACTTATGATTTTCTTAATAACATATTCTCTTCTCTAGCTTAGTTTATTGCACGAATACAGCATATACTCCATGTTAGATACAAAATATTTATTAACTGTTTATATTATCAATAAGGATTCTAGTAAACAGTCGGTTATTAATAATTAAGTTTTGAGGGAGTCAAAAGTTATACTTGGATTTTTTACTGTAAAACTGGCGTTCGATTCCCCAACCCCCACATTGTTCAAGGGTCAGCTATGTTTCATAATATCACAGAGGTCTTTTCCAGTGTTGGGATTTCTCATGAGCTATGTCTGCTTAGGTTTATCAAGCTATCTCCTTCTCCACTTTTCCAATATTAAACACCATTAGTTTGAAGTTCCTCATTTTCCAACTTACAGGATTTGAGTTAGTTGATCAAGGTAGAGTAAAATTTTAACAAACAATAGTTCAGAGACTAGGTCCTGAGAGGGAAGGGTTTATGTTTCAATTTTATGTATCAACCCTTTCTAGAAAGGCTTTTGTTTTATATGCCAGTTTATTGCTGTAGCCTGGCAGGATTTTACTCTAGAGCAGGGGTCAGCAAACTCTTTCTGTAAAGGGATAGGTAGTAAGTATTTTAGGTTTTGTGGGCCGTATGGTCTTTATTGCAACTATTCAACTCTGTTGTCGCATGAAAACAGTCATAGACAAATGAAATAACATGCCTGTGTTCCAATAAACCTTTATTTACAAAAACAGGCAGTAGGCCGAATTTGGTCCATGGACCATAGTTTGCTTTAGAGCATAGCTTTATCCTACTCTTTCATTAGTTTCTATTCCTCTCTGTGAATCTTTTCTATTTGAGCTTTCTTTCTCAGCTTCTTTTTTCAAAAGTTTTATTGAGATACATTTCATGTATCATACAGTTCACTCATTTTAAAGTGTACAGTGTTTTTTAGTGTATCACACAGTCATGCAACTATTACTACAATCTAATTTAAGAACACTTTCATCCCCCCAAAAGAAATCCTGTACCCATTAACAGTCATTCCCCATTCTCCCTCCTCCCTCCTGAGCCCTATATAACCACTAATCTCCTGTCTCTATAAATTTGCCTATTCTAAACATTTCATATAAATGGAATGACAGAGTTTATGGTTCCTTTGTGACTGGCCTCTTTCACTTTATATGATGTTTTTAAGGGTCATCCATATTGTAGCATGTACCAGTACTTTATTTTTGTGTTTGTTTTTTTGGAGACAGTCTTGCTGTTGCCCTGGCTAGAGTGCAGTGGTGTCATCATGGCTCACTACAACCTCAAATACCTGAGCTCAAGCAATCCTCAGCCTTCCAAGTAGCTGGGACTACAGACGTGTGCTGCCATGCCTGCTAATTTTTTCTATTTTTAGTAGAGAAGAGGTCTCGCTCTTGCTCTGGTTGGTCTCAAACTTCTTGACCTCCAGCTATCCTCTCACCTCAGCCTCCCAGAGGGCTAGGATTACAGGCTTGCGCCACTGCACCTGACCAATTCATTTCTTTTTATTGCCAGATAACATTCCATTATATAGATATATCATATTTTTTCTTTCAGTTCATCATTTGATGACATTGGGTTGTTTCCACTTTTGGGCTGTCAAGATTGCTGCCATGAACATTTGTATACTAGTTTGTGTGTGGATATATATTTTTATTCTCTTGGGTATATACTCAGGAGTAGAATTACTAGGTCACATGATAACTCTGTTAACCTTTTGAGAAACTACCAAACTATTTTCCAAAGCTGTCCCATCATTTTTTTTGTTTTTGAGACAGAGTCTTGCTTTGTTGCCCAGGCTGGAGTGAGTGCCACGGCGTCAGCCTGGCTCACAGCAACCTCAAACTCCTGGGCTCAAGCAATCCTGCTGCCTCAGCCTCCCGAGTAGCTGGGACTGTAGGCATGCACCACCATGCCTGGCTAATTTTTTCTATATATATATTAGTTGGCCAATTAATTTCTTTCTATTTATAGTAGAGACGGGGTCTCACTCTTGCTCAGGCTGGTTTTGAACTCCTGACCTCAAGCAATCTGCCCGCCTCGGCCTCCCAGAGTGCTAGGATTACAAGCGTGAGCCACTGTGCCCAGCCTCATCATTTTTTATTTTTATTTTTTTTTAGAGATGAGGTCTCACTCTCACTTTGTCGCCCAGGCAAAAGGGCAGTGGTGAAATCATAGCTCACTGCATCCTTGAACTCCTGGGCTCAAGTGATCCTCCTGCCTCAACCTCCTGAGTTCCTGAGATTACAGGCATACCTACTGCATCCAGCAGAGCCCCATCATTTTAAATTCCCACTAGCAATTTATGAGGGTTCTAGTTTCTCCACATCTTTGTCAACTTTTGCTATTGTCTCCTTTTTTTATAATTATCTAATGGTTGTCAATTGTCAGGTTACTTCTTTGCCATTTAATCACTTCTGTAGAATTGGCCTTTAACCCAGCTCTTGAAGATCAGATTATGAATACTTACAAGTGTGCATAATACCTGGTGACAAAGTATTGTCCAATTCGATCTTTAGAATCATAAAGTTTAATTCTTTGCTAACTAAGTATAACACAATGGATGAGTTAGAAATTTTATGAATTTAAGACTTAAGTATATGATCATGGTCATTATAGCCTTAACTTATGATTTTAAATCTTTTTCTTTTCTGACATCAAATTGTTATATACTATGTAACTAAACAACACATATATATTTATGATCTCTCATATAACGAGTTAATCAAAAAATTATCGGTCGCCTTTAGAGAATAAAGTTGCTTATGAGAGAAATGAGGCTT